GATCAAATACATCCTCCACAAAAACATGTCCATTTTTTCACTAATAACTAAAAGAATGTTTTAGTTAGGCCAATGAGGAGTCTTGTTATGCCAAGTCTACGGATCTATTCCTAATGCTATTTTCTACTTAATATTACATGTGTCACAAAAATTATGTTCGACAATTTAGGAAATCAGTGATGCAATGAATTACACAATAATTTCTATTATTATATTGGTAATGGGCCTTCCTCATATTTTATAGTATTAAAATTATCTGTTTTTAAGTGTTTATTTTTCTGGAAATGCTATAAAAGATGACAGACACCATCACAAAAATAGATGTGCGTAGAAATTTTTGAAAAATAAAATTAATATTTTATTTACAGTTTGTAAAGATTAATATTACATATGAAGAAATTTTTACTTTTATGACCGTTGTAGAAAAGTTATGTAGGGAAAATTCACTTAAGCACAACCTTGGAAGAATAGTACCTAGACGCACTTATTGACTAAAGTTATTTTAAAGATCTATATAGATAAGGCAAAGTGTTAAAGTTGGGGTTTGATGTTGATGACGCTAAAAGATATTTCGGGTAAATCACCAAACCGTATTTAAACACACACATAATGTATGTAAACACACATTTCACTACATTTTACGATTTGTTAATAATAAGTACTAAATTTTGCTATATTTTTTTATAAATGGTGCTCAGCATGGTACTGAGTACTAATGCCATACATCACTACTAATAAAAAATCTGTTAAAGTTTAAAAGAAAATAAGAATATAAAAATAAATTAGCAAACCATTGATGTGATTAATATATTTACAATGTATGCAAAAATTAAGGTGATACCATGACTTCTGCAATGTTCTATACCTATATGTTATGTTTTTGTGGAATATAATATTTTATGAATAATCGATAAAATATACCAACAAAATTTGAATTAAGTTTAGATATCTAGTAGTATAAATAATGTTCTTTGTATACCTATACACAAATGAATTACTTTTTGATTCTTTGAAGTATTTTTTCTATTGGTTTTAATTATTATACAATAACATTAAATACTACATTACGTTGATACAACATATAAAAACGTCTACAAATGTAATAGTTTAAGCTTGATTATGGTTTTTATACTTAAATTTTTTTTAGACCGTGTTTTTGTTTAAATATAATGTTTCTTCTTTGTATAAGCATTAAATAGTCATGTTGGGTAAATAAATCGATAAAATATTATATTTTTTGATCTCCACGTATTTTTTAGTTATTATTCTCAATTAGCAATTTCGATGTTGCGACTATAACTTATATGGTTTCATAATAAAAGCAATCTATAAGCTCTTAAATACATTTATATTCAATAATTTTTTGCGGATACAACGTCAGTAAATATTTTTGAGTTATAATAGTCACATATTATTTAATATACACGTACAACGTCCACTAATTACCAGTAAATTAACATGTAGTTAATCATCCGCAATTATTATAATTTCCAAATCGAGCCTTTCAAATTGTCCTTGAAATTAGAAAAATTTGTAGAATTTCGTAGAACATTTGAGATTTTAGCTTTCGGAAACGGAGCGCGTTGAACTAAAAAGCGAAAAACTAATAAGAAAAACCAAATAGAAAATATAATTAATATTAAGGGGAAATATAAACTCAAATTGCTTAACAAGATCCTCCGTTATGCCGAAAATATTGCAGCATTAATTTTGAAATAAATATATGGTAAAGTTAATGATTAATGTTAAGTACTATGTTAGACGAAAACACGATTCCGTAAAATTTTCTCGATAGAAAAAAAATCCTAAGTTACCTCCAAACTGAACAATAAACCGCTGTTATTCATAAAATACTTTAAATAAGATAATGAAACTTTGCATACAACTGAACTAACTATAAAGCAGGGCTTATGTTATTTACTTTTTTAAAATACCATTATTTTCACTGTAAAAAGAAATTACCTAAACTATCGGCGTCTTGTAGCTTGTTTCCTGCCGCCCGGTTAGTATCGCTTCGGCTTTTGAAGGGGGAAGTTGTGTCGTTTACGATCAGAATATACATTACGCAACAGGACGACGTAAAATTAAAATAGGAAATAACCGTAATAAAAATAAGAAGGAATTGGGTTGGCGTTAAGAAACAGGCATAAATATGATAAACCTAATGAAATAAATATCTAATGACTTATCTACTCACAGTATTAGTGATTACAAACATGTCGGTACATAGCATACGACGCGCGGGGAGGTGGGGGCGAAATTAGAATTTAAGCTGACTTACTATATCCCCTTAATACTATGATGCCTTTCCATATTGAAGAATAAACTCATTAGAAGATTTAAACACTTAGAGATTTTCTAATTGGTATTCATTTAGCTGCTGTCAATTCTACGCGCTACGTTTATTTTATTATTTTGATACTTTGGTCAAAGATATCGTGGTGAGGGGCATTAGTGGCCGTCGTGGGGGCGCGCTAGTCGTCACGGCGCTCCGGCGACGGCTCGCGCGATCAGTCGGGCGATTCGTCGGCGACGAACGACGTGGCCGGGAACAGCGGGTACCAGCCGTAGGTGCGCTGCGGGAGGGTTAGTTTGTCGAGGCAGATCTCAGCGCCGCCCAGCGCAAGATTGTGCTCGAAGCCACCGCATCGCTGCCACAGCATCACCATAAGTGTACGGCCTAGTGCGTCGCTAGCCTGAAATGATAATGTAAAAAAAATGGTCTCTATTTCTGCTTATAATTGTCGCAGATGCAGGTGTCATCAATTTAAATCAAATCTGTCTCGAAAGTCAAATAGAATTTTTTTTGATATCATCAATCTGATTAATAGTTCTCCGTAAGAACATTTGCATTTACTGAATAAACTTGAGTCACTTTCTATTTTGCACGTATGCTATGCTTAATGGCTCTTAATAGTGTCTCCAAACGGTCTTAAACGTACAAGGACATGACAAAGGCCATGTGCAACGTCCATATCAATTTTTAGGTGCGGTTTTGTTTCTAGTGGCTCCAGGTAGCAGGTAGCCCATGCTACGCCTCTTCTAGAATGTATACTTTTTTGAGCCTCACAGGCTTTAATGACGCTAGTTGTTGGGGGCACTACGTTCGGCAAAAGCTTCGTACTAAGTAAGTAATGCAGGATATCGATCGATACATGTGGCTCAGGAATCAGTTTAGAATATATTCCTTGGGAATCAGTTCAGAATATATACCTCTGTTAGCAGTGTACTGATGAAGACTTAAGAGATACCAAGAACTTTTTTCAAGTTCTTTAAGTTAGAGCTGAAAGCCTCACCTGATATTTCAACGTCTGTTTGAAGTGCGGCTCCGTGGTGCGACGAATGACACGAGTTTTGCGCTTGTGTAGCCATTTGTCTCCGTCGCGCAGGTAGCACTTCACGTATGAATCAGGCACTTCGCCGTTGACGCCGTACACTCGGCGGGCATGAGATACCTACCACAGTCGATAATAATATAACCTACATATTTATAACTTGTTGATTAACGGTTGCCGGACGTAAGTTCAAAAAGCAATAGAGATTGAGTATTTGCTTGTCATAAATATGCTTAGTTGCGTGGTAAAGGCTGTAAAAATTACGATAATAAGGTTAAAAAGGTACATGAGGTATCGTATCATTGGTGAGTAACCTTACATTAACAATGTTGCAGTTAAATTATTATATAAACACACTTTAAAATTTTTATTTTACTACCGAAGTCCGCAAACTTTACTACCGAAGGCCATTGTGTGGCCGGATATGTTATAGGCCGTACGGATAAATAATGGGATTATATATGGCGGCTTATTGAGCTCGTACCATCAACATGCACAATACAATTAACGAACATCTTAATGTCGGTATACCGTTATTATGTTAATTAAAACGTTGGTTATATTATTCGTTTAATTGGAAATTTTAATTATGTACACGTAGACACATTAATTTTAAAATAACATTTATAACCAGTGACTTGTCTTGGGTAAAATTGAATTATTTACAAGTATAGATTAGTAAATTATTCTCGAAGACTATAAAATAAAACAATGTATTTCTTAATTTAAATAACAGATAATAAAATATTTCATATAGGACAGACATACATACAAGAAACTCTATAGACATTCATTTCTACGTAAAGTAATCTTTGAAAATAAAACATGAACCTTCACCAGAATCGTCTGAGAACACTTTTTTTTTGTTATCTTCTTGACCTGATCATTGTTAGAGTCGGAGCAGCTATCGCTTTCACAATGGTTTTTAGCCCAATATTAATTATAAACTCGCCAATGTTATTTTCATTCGTTACATCCCTCGGTCTTTAATTTTTCCTCAATATACATATTCAGTGAAATTTTGTTTATTCATTTCATCATAGTAATCGACTTTTTTAGTTTTGGCCTTAAAAGTCAACTCAGCTTCCGTGCCATCAAGTCTATCACTGTATATCTTTATTTTTGATTTTTGTCCGACTGATTTGATTATTGTCCGACTAGGCGTACAGAGCAGTCGCGTTTTACAATTTTTAAATAAATTCAATTACGCTCAACAACCTAATTTAAAACTTAATTATTCAAGGTTAAGATATAAAGTCAATTGAGTTACCAGTGCATCGGTTACGTGATAAAGTGCAGAGATTTACTTCTACCTGGGCGCATAGGCAAGGTAACCGCTCTTTACCCCCTGGGGGAAAAGAGACAAATTATATTTTATTTGACCTTTCACTCCGTAGCGATCACTGAGCTTAGGCGTGATATACGATGTGATCTATGATGAACGTACTACGCTCGCCTACTGGAAGTGGGCTAAGTGGGTCGGAACTAAATTTGTCCACAACACCTGAGCCTACAGATAAATCAAAGGTTAACATGCGCAATAAGAGAAAGCGTTTTGATGATTGCGAAGATATTAAGTAAGAATTAAGCGAAATTCGTAAACAAATGTCACAAATGATGTCGATGCTCACAAATTTGAGCATTAGTCAGCAAGAATTTAACAATAAAATGAATAATGATGTTTCAGATATTAAAGAACAGATGGCTGATATAAAAACTAATATTCAGAATCTCACAATGGAGCAAAATACAATAAAATCTGATATCCTAGATATAAAGTCTAATAATAATATTACTAATAAGAACTTGCTTTTTTTGAAACCTGCTTAAAATACGTCAGGCAATCATACAACTCAGCCTGCAGACACTTCTTACAAGTCTATCATATCTGAAATTACAGAATGAAACTTTAGACGCAAAAACAAAATTATAGATGGACTACCGGAACCCGTATCGAAAAATAAAGAGGAAAGGAAAGACATCGACATAAAACAAGTAACTAAAATAGTAAAGACGATAGATAAGAGTTTCCAGCCCAAAGTGGTATACCGTCTTGGCAGATATAGCCCCGGCAAAGATCGTCCCATAAAAGTATGTTTTTCGTCTTCAGAGACAGCTTTAAATATGTTGCGCAATAGAAAAAATGAGAATTTAGGCAATCTCAAAATATACGCAGATCACACCCCTCTACAGCAAAAAATATTATAAAGATCTTAAAAAAGAAGTAAAGCACCAATCGAATAATAATAACAATAAAAAATTTACTATAAAATATGTTAGAGGTGTGCCGAAGATCGTAGAAACCTCCTCAAAAAACTAAAATCACATGACACCATTCACCTCCAAACACTTTCGTGCAACGCAAACTCAATTACCTACGAAATTGTTAATAGTTACAAAGATATTTCTTCCACCAAAAAGTCTCTACGATTTCTATATGCTAACGTAAGAAGTATAGTGAAACCAGGAAAATTGGATGAACTAAAATGCGTAGTTGAGTCGTTTCAGAATAGGATTCATATAATCATCCTGTCAGAGACATGGATAAAGTCAAACGAGGAAGCTATTAGTCTTTAGATTCCCGGCTATGTTCAGCATTTTAATTACAGGCGTAATAAGAGAGGTGGTGGAGTATCTATATTCATTTGCAATAGCCTAAAACACGACGTAACAGAAAATCAGTCCCAAGGTGACAATCACTACCTGTGGATTCATCATGACCACTATTGTCTTAATATAGGTGCCGTATATCGCAAACAAAACGCCTCAAATTTAAAAACCTTTTTGGACTTTTATTCCAAGGAGACTTTAACATTAATTTACTGAGTCAACAACAGGCAACTAATAACTACAAGGAAGTGCTAGAGGAGAATGGTTACAATATAATAAATAAAATAGACGAAAAATACTGTTCATATGATTTATTACCGATATTTGTGCAGTTTACCATGGTTTTACATAGTTGTTCGTAATTAATAGCTTCATATCTAACTTTTCACAGTGGTTCAGGCCGGAATTTCTGTATTTCAAAGTATATTTGCTTGTGTCACATAGGGGCTTCAATTATGATGAAATTAAATCTGTGTCGTTTAAGATTTGAGCAAACATGGTATATTATTGATTTTGTTGAAACTATTACACGAAACAACATGATAAATCATGTTGTTTCGAAATGTCAAATGTCAAATCTAAAGGAGAACCTCAACAATTTAATAGTGATGCCACTTCTTCAGCGAACGAGAGAAACGTAGTAGCTAATTTTTCGAGACAAGATTTAAAAACTTATATAATGTACGAGTATTGTTAGCGACTACTGTTATAAAATCTAAATCTAGAAATGGTTCTTATGTGATTAGAGCGTTGCTTGATCAAGGCTCGCAAGCTTCTTTTGTTAGTGAAGATACTGTACAATTGTTAGGTCTTAAGCGTACAAATGTAATGGTAAGGTGTCAGGTTTGGGAGATGGTCAAATGGTGATTAAACATGCGGTTAGTATTGAAGTCGAATCGCTTCACGTACCTGGGAAAGTTATATGCGTTAATGCGTATGTATTAAAATCACTTACTTCATTATTACCAGGTCGTGAAGTACGTATACCCGATTGGCTAGAATTAAAAACCTTACCTCTTGCCGATCCTGGATTTGCATCACCGGGAAAGGTTGATATATTACTCGGTGCTGACGTATACGGGGAAATATTGCTAAGTGGAATTAAGAAAAGTCCATATGGAAATTTAATAGTACAAAACACGTTGTTTGGGTGGATTTTGTCTGGTAAAATAACACACGAGTTGAATAGTAAGAATGTTATCACTTTACATGTTCATATAAGAGAGGTTGAGATACTGAAAAAAATTTGGGAAATGGAGAACGAGCCTAATAGTATCGAGAAAAAATTAACAGAAGAGGAAAAATTACGTGAAAAGTTATACAAAGAAACTACTTTAAGGCGTGGAGACGGTAAATTCATTGTAAGATTACCTTTTAAAATAATTGACCCGCAGTGTCAATATGGTCGATCATTTGAGATTGCTGTTAATAAATTACATTCATTAGAGCGAAGATTGTGTAAAAACCCTACACTTTATAATGAGTACATTAACGTCTTACAGGAATATGCAACGTTGGAACATATGAAGATTATGGAGGAAGAAGTTAATGGTGATGATGTTAATAATCCTAAAGCCGTGTATCTTCCTCACCACGCGGTTGTGAGGGAAGATAAAGAGACAACAAAGGTCAGAGTGGCCTTCAATGCTTCTAGTAAGGGTTTTAATGACGTGTCTCTTAACGATGATTTACTAGTTGGTCCTAAACTCCAACAAGATTTACGTCACTTGTTACTACGATGGAGCAAACATCCTATTTGTATAGTTGCCGACCTAGTGAAAATGTATCGGCAGGTATATGTGCATGAGGATGACGCCGAATTTCAGAGGATATTATGGAGAACTAAACCTGAGTTACCAGTTAAGCATTATAAATTGCTAACAGTGACGTTTGGCACTGCTTGTGCGCCTTATCTCGCAGTGAAAACGCTACAAACATTAGCAGAATTAGAAAAGGACAAATATCCATTGACAGCTCAGATTACAGAACGAGATTACTATGTTGACGATTTAATGACAGGTTGCGAAACTGAGGAAGAAGCATTACATATTTACGAACAAATGTGTAAACTGATATGAGCTGGTGGATTTGAACTGCAAAAGTGGAGTAGCAATAATCAATTGTTTCTAAATCACATTAGGAAAGAGAATTTCAACACCGAAAATTCTATAGCGATTAAGGTTGATAATGTGATGAAGGTTTTAAGCATTTGTTGGAACAGGTGTACAGATAATTTTGAGTATATAGTAAATCTAGTTGCACCTGAAAAATATATAACAAAACGAAAAGTTTTATCGGATGTTGCCAGACTCTATGATCCTATTGGATGGATTGCCCCAGTAATAATTACTGCTAAGGTTTTCATCCAGAAATTATGGAAAGTATGCATTGAGTGGGATCAGAAATTGCCCAAAAATCTTTTATCTGAGTGGTTAACACATAGATACGAGTTAATGAACCTTAAGAATATCACGATACCGCGGTGGATTGGTTCAACAAAAGGGTCTAAA